CAAAATTGACCTTTTAGCAATTTAGATGCTCTTTGTTAATGGAACTATTAAGAGGTAAATAAACAACCCCTAAGTTTGGATAAACTGTAACTCTAAATGAACTTAAGTATGGAAACCTTAAGTCTGAACATTCTCTAAGCAACATGAGGGGATGATTTCTCAAATTTTAATCTCTTGAAAGAAGGACAACTTTCAAGTTGATCAAATTCTTTGATTAAATGTTCAAACCACTTCTTTAATCTCAAAAAGATTTATGATTTCAAGAAGCTGGATTTTAAATGATTTTATTTCAAGTTAACTCTAACTCTAAAAACAAAGAGCTCTAACTCTGACTCTTTTATTCAGAGTTATGACACTGTACTTTAGAGTTATTACTCTTTCGACTATAGTTACTAATAATTATCTGGTCATCATCATGTCATGTTTCTATTTGAACAATTATTGCCACGACTCAAAAGAAAACCTTTCTGATGGTAATACACCTGTCAGAGCATGCTTAATTAGCTTAATCATCATATTAACACCTGCTTTTTCAACACGTGTCACTCTATAACAACCAACTCGTATGATTTCACAGGGTTTAATTAATAAATAGTTCTTATTATTTTACTTTTAAATCTTTCTCAAACCCTTGCTTTTTTTGCTTATAAGAATCTTTGTGCAAACAATTTTTTTAATCTTGTTTTTCAAGTGGCTCAATCTCGAGCGAATGTTCAATCTGCTTTAAGGACCGTGAAAGCCTATTTTTATCCTTCTTCTGACTCAGACAACCACGAGGTTAATCAACCTTCATGCATGGTGCATTCAAATTTCTCTTGAACATAATCTGGAACTTAATATTGAAAATATTGTTGTTATGGAGGAAAACATGAATCTAACTTATGTTGAGGTACAAGTATTGGTTAATGAAGAAAATGTTAATGAGGCTATGAAAGTTAATGCTACTAGCGAGAATGAAGAATCACAGGGTGATGTCGGTGATAACAATTAAGGCGTACCACAAAACCCACAATGTTGCCATGTCTAGGGCTTCTCAAGTTGTTGAAAATTATGTTCTTTCCATTGACAAATATGATAATATCAAGGAAAACAACTATGCGTTGTTACTTAATTTTGAAAAGTTCAAATATGATCATCAGATTATTATTGAACTTATAAGGCATCATCCTTTGAAGAAAATGTTCATGAGACAGACTATTGTGCCAGTGCAATATCTTCAACAGTGGTGGACAACATGTATTTTGACCATGAGGATCAAGACTTGAACTCAAAAATAGTTGGAGTCCCTTTTGCTTTGAGTGTTGAAGTTTTCAGATCTATGCTCAGTTGCTAGATAAGACAAAAATGAAGGGAAAAATGATTTTAATGAGCTGCCTACTATAGGGTAAATGATAGAGGACTTCATTGCTCTAGAATACAAAGAACAATTTCCTGTGCTAAGTAACTTCAAGAGAAAGTTCCTACCTCACATTTGGTACTGTTTGTTTTCTATAGTAAATAGATGCATTTCTGTAAAGTCAACCATCCAATATCAAGCTAACATAAACATTTTTGACTATCTCCATGGCATTGCTCACATATGCATTATGATTATGCATCTATCATCATGAATAATATTTAGGGATATTTGACAAAGCCACTTGGATACATACCTTATCAAAAGTTCTAGAAACTCTGTGTTAAATCTCTAAATGACAATGAGTCAATTCCAAGAAGAGCAGATGAGGAGACTGCATCACATTATAGGATGGATTTACTGAGGTTATCAACTCCTCTATCCAATTTCACAAGACATGAGGTACTTCCTACTCAACTCAAAGTATATATTAGATTTGATAATGAGATACTTAGATAATATTGTGTTTTTATGGGTCTTCTAGAACCAGTGGACCCTGCCTAAGAAGTATCACCCCCTAGGATTAGAGGTGAGGGATCTATAGCTAATAGAGTGGGGGAGGATGTTCAAGAGGATGAGCAGCTTCATAGTGAAGAGAGGCAAAATGAAACTAAAACTGAATGGTATCTACCGATGAGATTAGTTTGGAGAATTTCAACAATAATGACGATATCCAAGTTACATCTACCATGCCCAACATCACAAAATGAGTCCGCTAAATGCAACCACATCTAAGGGGTGTTTAGCAGTTGCTGAATTGTTTGATGCATAATGATTAAACGGTGAAAATAATTAAGAGGCTCTTATACTATAATGCAATATGAAATATAATTGTTTGTAATTGTTCAGAATGAAACTAGGGTGCTTAATGGTTAAGGGAGGCCCATGATACAAAATCATTCAGAGGTTTTAAGAACCATTAAGAGACAAAAAAAAATTTACCAAACAAAATTCACCTTTCGGCTATTCAAATGTTGCCTCTTAATGGAACTATTAAGAGGTAAACAAACAACCTTTGAAAGTATAAAAAGAGAAGTGGAAGAAGAAGATGTAATGACTTCTAAGATAACGACGACCATAGGTGATGTAGCTAATACTATCAGAAAATACCACAACATTAAGTTTGTTTACATTGTATATTATTGTACATTTATAGTTATTAGATTTCTGATGGTTGTTATTAACTTTTTGTAACAGGTTTTAAAAGATCTCATCCACGTGTGTACTTAAGAGGAAGAGATATATAATAAACTCGAGCTGATGGGTGTGGGACCTGAAGTGATATCACATGCACATCTTTTTCTAGTGGAAAAGTCAGAAAAAGCGCATGCATTATTTGGCTGTCCTTTTTTGATGAGGATGTCTATTTTAAGAGACATAATGGGTGCAAGTTATTAGGGTATCAATATATTCGACTATATGTTTTTACTCGGATTTTGAGTTTGATTTGTCGTCCTCTTTTTTGTATCGAATTTCGGAATTCAGTGACACTTTATGTATATATATATATATATACAAACATATAGGTCGATCTGATTCATAAAACTATACAATTACCTAATGTGACCTTTGTTGTGCATTATTAACATGTCTTATACTTCATGATGTCCAGACATGATAAGACAGAACATTACATGACAGAAAAGGATTAACCAGAACAAGACAAGACAAGACTAAACAAAATGGTTGTACAACGTTTGATAAGATAGAACTGGATAGAACAGAGCAAGTAAAATGACCAATTTACCTCTAATGAATTGTTTATATATTTTGATTAATTTATGTAATTTATTAAAATAATTATTTTTTATAACAAAAAATATCATTAGAAAGTTTTCATTAAAACAATTATATTGATACTCAAATAAAAAGTTTATGTAGTTTTCAATTTTTATTTTATCCCTTTTCTACATTATTTTTTATTATTAATATAATAAATTAATAAAAATATAAAAACCATATAAAAATAATAATTTGAGGATAGTAAAATTAAAGTTTAAAAAACATAAAATACAATAAATAAAATCTAAATAATGAATACAATGTAAAGATGAGACCTATTTGATGTTTTAGAAGAGAATTAAGGGGTTGTTTGACTCATGACGAGGAATGAAAAGGAGAACGGAAATGAAAATGATAGAGAATGAACCTATTATATTATAGAAACCAAACAGTTTTTTTTATTTTTATTCTTATTAATTACTGCTTAATACATGTAACCAAACACCCCCTAAATGTTATTTTGAGGTTATATTGGATAAATATAAGTTTGTTCTACCATGTTCCATGAGGTAGAGGTGAAACAGGCCTCTTTCACTTCGTTCTTGTTTGTGCCACATAAAAGGTCTTACCAAACATGGAACATGGATCCCTGTTTTATTCTGTTTTGTCCAGTGTACCAAATACACCAGTAATATGATGAGTTTAAATAACTTGTAAGTTTTTCCATGGGACATTGGGTATAAGTTATCTACATAAACCACAAGGGTGGTGCATGATTGGTTTAAGTTTGAATTCCCAAGATCAAAAGTGTTTGGAAGTCTCAGGTTCAAATCATAGGAGGAATATAAATCCTCTTATGGCTATGGAGGTTCAAATACGGTGACTCCAGGCTACCTGCAAAGCAGATAGTCACCTTGAGATTAGTCAACTTGCATAACAAATTAGATATCCAGGTTAATAAAAAAAAGTTGCCTACATATTGTGATATAAACCATACATTGAAAAATAAATGTCGTAAACTAAGTCACCAAGTTTTCCATGATAAATATTAGATTTTAGAAGATAAAAATGAAGCCGAAGTTACAACCGTGGAGTTGAGCATTCATATAATAAAATTAACATAAAAGAAAAATGAGCAAAACAAATACAAGAGCATGTCACAGTTTTTCTTTGAAAACACAACATTAAAAAAAAACTAACTTCAAATCTATACTATATTATAAAGTATTTGATAAAAAAATTTAAAAACTATTTTTTATACATAAATATTGTTTATTGATCTATATTACTTATAATTTAAGATTATAAGTAAATTATGTGTAAATACAACTTATTAAAACTTCTTGTTTGAATTCGTGTAACTAACAACATATAAATATAATCAAACAGAGGATAAACATCTTATTTTAAATATAAAAAAATTAAAATATAATTAGAAGAATTATTGATTTTCTAATAAAATACTTAATTATTATCAATATAAAAATTTATATTATTAAACAAAAAAAATGAATTACAGAAGTACACAAGAAAACGAAATTTTTTAAATGATTAGTGTGGTATTAATATCAATATTGCTTTTAAATTTTTTATTATATCTTTATATTTATATTTTATTTAAAAATAAAAATATTATTATTTTCTTAAAATCATATAAAATTATATTATAACATCGACCGAGATAAAAAAAAAACAAAATATTAAAATTAAAATTTATTTTACTATATTGTGCAAGTAACTTTTTAATAATTTTAAAATGTTAAATGAACAAAATGTATTTAAGGTAAATGGAGTTGATAAAAATGTTAGACGGCTGTTGTGTTAAAGAGAGTGATGGAATGGAATCCTGACAAATCATAAAGGAAGAAAAACCGAGTAATCATTGTTTTGATAATTTGTAAAATCAAAAACCCTTTTAATCCCGCGCCTTCTCCATTTAGGGGTTTGTTTTCCGTCCACCGTCTTCACTTCTCTCCACGGCGGCGAGCAGCGACTGTAGCCTCACCTTCGGCACGATGATTTGTTCGAGTTACTATCTTCTTCTTCTTCGTTTTTCTTTATTTGCATACTACGTGTATATGCAGTCTAGTATATCAATCCTTTCCTGATCTGCTTTGCCTTTTTGTTGTTCCATGTTACCCCGGCCAGTCTCCGGCGAGGTACCGGACGAACCTGTTGTTTCTAAGTCGTCTGGATTACTCTTCGACAAGCGTTTGATTGAGAGACACATATTGGTGCGTTCTTATTTCTTGCCTAGGGTTTAAGCACTTGAATAACGTGAACATGTTTGAACTTTGTTCAGTTTTTCACTAAAAAAGATAGGTCTAGAATACTTATTACATGATTATCAAATTACACAATGCGCATCAGAATAAGTATGTTCTATCTTTTGATTTATATGGGATCTCTACTAACGAAATCGATATTTATAACAAGTTCTACAAATTGAATAACGTCAGCGCTGAATTTGCATTAATATACATATCAGTGCTCATTTTAAAAGGTAAGCCTGTTGTAAAATAAAATGCTAAACATAACTAATGTCAGATGTTGGTGTAGAGGGAGTATGAAATTTCAAATTTTCAAGAGAAGTTTAGTATTTGATATATATCTTGATATAAGCTACTTCAAATAGACTAATGTCAGATGTTGGTGTTAAATGCTTAAAACATAACTTGTATCAAGTTTTCCTTTGGGAAAATAAATAGGTTTAATACAGAGTACAACTGGTTTGGGAATGACAAGATTATATTATTTTTATTGTTGATTGATGTCTTTTCTCTGTTCTCAACTAGGATCATGGAAAATGCCCTGTTACTGGGAATTCATTAACTATGGATGACCTTATTCCAATAAAAACTGGAAAGGTTTGCTTCTAATGGTTTTTATATCTCAATATCATATTTTCAGGATTGAATTTGCACACAGAAGGCTAAGTATTAATGGAAATTTTTGCAGATAGTGAAGCCTAGACAAGTACAGGCTGCAAGTATCCCTGGGATGCTTGGAATGTTCCAGAATGTATGTATTTTTCTCATTTTGATCTCTAGGGAGCCTTTTACTTTTTTTGATTCAATTTCATACCATTTCTTGTAAGTGCTAGGCGTTATACGTTAGTACGTTATCACATCTTCTGCCTTCTTGTGACTCTATAGTTCAACACAATATCAACAAGCACATTCTTTATCATCTGCCTGATTATGAACTTTGCTGACACATGTTCTGATCTTTTATATTATATTAGGAATGGGATGCTTTGGTGCTATCTGCTTTTGCATCCGAGCAACAACTACATACAACAAGGCAGGAGCTTAGTCATTGTTTATACCAGGTACTACTGATAACTAGTTACTGGTGCATATTTCCTAATCTTGTTTCTGTTGTAGTTATTTATTGGTGACATTTATACTCTGAACAGGCCACCTCTTGGTATTAATCTTCTGTTCTACGGTTGCATGAGCTCCTGAAACAATATCTCAAGAGGACACTCTTGCTCATCTAAAATGTTCTATTCCATCATGCTATACATAGCATCTATGTCCATCATATCTCTGTGTAAAAACAGTGATCTTTTATATGAAGCTATAAAACTCTATGGTGGTTAAATCACTGTGAGGTTAAACATGGTTATGTTACCCACAAAAATCTGGGGTTTCACTTTCCTAGTGACCAGCAGGCTAATGGGGTTTGTTTTGTTGTTTAATGCTGGAAATAGTTCATATTATTCAGTACAAGTTTAAGGTCTTATAGTGTTAGCTTCATATCCTGTATTTAGTTTATAAATTGCGAATTAAATTGATTACTAGATTCACTTCCATCTTTTCTAAATAATTTATAATGTGCATATATATAAAACACAAAAAGCAAGCATCTAGTTATAATTATACCAATTTATACTTTATTAATCATAGTTGTTAGCAAATACAAGAAAAAGTATTTACTTGTATGTGGCTATTTATGACTTTTGTATCAATAAAGTAAACAAAAGTTCACAAAACAACGTAAATAAGGTGGGATGTCCAAGGAAATGGTGGTTGAATTATACAACGCTTGATTTCACCAGTATGCTGGCAAATCAGTCTGTGCTATGATTCCCAAATGGTGTTCATATCGCGTGCTTCATTAACCGGATCAAATCGTATGTCTTTTGACAATGATGTATATATAAATTGAAACTGTTTCTTCTTTCAAATGCCTGTTTATGGAAGAAACTTATAATATTTTTGGCAATGATGGTTATTTGGCTGATTGGTTTTCCAATATGCTAGTTTCAACAACTCTTGTTCTTTACATTTCTTTCTAGCTGCTTGGCCTGTAGTATGCATCTGGTTTACCGCGTTAGGTATCAGATTATCAGCACTATGGCTTTCAACCTAAATGGTTTCAGTTTCAACCAATAGCTAGCTTATAGTCAAGGTCGTGTAGTGAATACTTGGGCTGATATCATTAACCGTGCTAACCTTGTTATGGAAGTTATGCATGAACGTAATGCTCATAATTTCCATCAAGACTTGGCTGCTATCAAAGCTCCATCTAGAAATGTATGACTAATGTTTTATTGTATAGGCGCACTTTGAATAAAAAGGAGCAATAGCTTCCTTTTTGTTGTTAGTGGTTGGCTGCCAATAGTTTGATACTGGTGCTTGATGATTTGGAACAAGAAATTGGTGAAATTAAGAATTAGAAGAGCTAAGGATTTTGGTTTCATTCCTCAACCCTAGAATCTCCAATGCTTCAAGCTGGCTTATAATGGAGGTATCAAATAGGGTTAAGCTCTTGATTATGGAGGAGATAGATTAGGCATCTTTGCTTAAGTTTTGAGCTGTGAAAGGTATTAAAGTCTGAGGCTGTAGGATTTGCTGATAAGGTTCTATTGCCTTTCATCTTGTGATTGAAAGATTTAGGCTCTAGGTGAATATGTGGCTGCATTATTGGGCTAACCAAATATAGCAACTAAATGCTCAAGTAAATACTATCCTGAATACAACTACTAAGGGCATGTTTGGTTAAAGGTATTGAACAGTAATCAATAGGAATAAAAATAAAAGGAACTGTTTAGTTTCCTATAATATAATGGACTCAATTCCCATAGAAGTCCAAATTTCATTCCTGGTTAAACTGTGGGGAATGAAAATTCATTCCCTTTTTCATTCCCAGTCATTTTCATTTTTATTCCTCAGCTTGAGCCAAACAGACCCTGAATAAAATGAAGCCAATGATTATGGTGAGTCCTAGCAAATCATTTTCATGATTCTTCTATTGTTTATAAAGCTGTATGAGGATGGTTATGATGATATGTAGTAGTATGTAATCTACAACCATAGTCTGATTGCCTACAATGGCTGAAAAAGTCAAGTGGGTGATATACTTTACGACATAGATGAAGCAGGGAATCAATTAGTGTAAATTAGCAAAAACTATTTAGTGTTTTTAACCATGTTTGTGCTATGACAAAATTTGTTTTGAGATGTTAGTGTAAGTATTAAGAAAGAGCATGTGACCAATCTCAGATGCAAAATTCAATAATAATTATTTTGGTGTGTGCCTGGATGAAACTATGTCCTATTAATTTCCTAAGTAAACATTTCTATTTGTTTATTCATTTTTTTTGTTTTGATGCACCGAAGTTATCTTTCTTTTAGTTTATGCATGGTCCATTATTGTCGCTTTTACCCTTAGACAATTGTTTAGACTTCTCTTGTTTTCATGGGCCCTTTATGCATTGTGTTTTTCATTAAGACACATTGCTCTTAGACTTGGGACTTCTCATCTTCATTATATATCTGATATTTTTGTATTCATGGGAAGGGAATAATTCTTTGTTGTACTTCCGTTCACTATTTTACAACTTCTCTTTATGTTATGTGTGATATGATGGTGTATGATTTAGTTGAAGGCTGTATTCGTTTATTGACAGCACGACTCAGCTTGCCGTGTAATTGCAAGATTAAAGAAAGAACTAGATGAGGCCAGGACTATGCTGGCACATTTAGAGAGGCAAGCACCCATGCCGGCATCAATGGTAATGTCAGCAAATGCGGCCGCTGCAATCAATGGGAAAAGAGGTTTTTTCTTCCTTTTCATTTTTTAGGACTTTAATATCGACATGCTTTTTAAATGCTCATATCTGCTTGATTTGGTTTAACAGCTGCTGAGGGTGATGAGTTGGATACAGATGGTAAGAAAATCCGCCCAGGAATCTCAGCTGGTATAATTGCAGAGTTAACGGACTGCAATGCTGCACTTTCACAGCAAAGGAAAAAGAGACAGGTATTTCTACTTCTACTCAGCTGTTTCACTGATTTCTATAATTCTATTTGTTTTATATACACCTTGAAATCATGTTGCAGGGGGGGTGGGTGGGTTTCTTCTTCTTTTGTTTGTCTGTGTGGGCTGGGGTTATTGGGCTATGAGCATGGAAACCAATCATGTTTATAATTCTTGACATTGTGGAATTTTTTTCTTTTCCCCCCTTTTTCAGATTTCATCCTCATTGGCTCCCGTGGATGCTGTTGAGAGGTATACCCAGCTTAATAGTTATCCTCTTCACAAAACAAACAAAGCTGGCATATTATCTATTGATGTCCATCAATCGAAGGTACACCGTGTGTAGTATTAAGAAGCATTCTTTATAGTGTCGTTTTACTTCCTGGTTTGAAGTCCCCTCATGATTTTTAGGCAAAAAAAATCTCGTCATCAGGACAAGTACTTACAGATCATTCTTTACTTTATAGCAATAACTAATTTTGGGCTTAATGCCTTTGGAATGAGTACAGGGTGTTTATCTTGATCAGTAAGCATTATACTCGATGACTGTCTAGTTACTGTGGATTCATTGCATGTTATATGGTGCCCTTTATCAAACAGAGTACCAATTGATATACACACTTCAGTTTGGATATCGTGTACACAAAGTTACTTAACAAATGCTAGCTGGATTTGCTACTGATGATAGTTCAGATGCCTTAATATTATCTGTTCTACTTTGATATTTAAAAGCCATAACCTTAATTTTGTTGCTGAATCTGAGTAGTTGGCTCCCCTGCACTAATTTTAGTTGGGAAGACAGCCGATCACCAACTTTCTTTTCCTAGGCTTAAAGTTGAGTCTTGTGGTTTCTTGAGAATCTCTTCATTAATTTCACTGATTTCATTGATCCTATCATCAGTCATCAACTGTTAGTACTAGTAGGGGTTGGGGCTACACATGATTTTTAGAGATGGAGCGCTGTCAGAAAAAAATGGTTCTTTTCGGTTAGCAATAAGATTTGTTTCATTCTGGAAACTAAAGCTATTCTTTATAGTTATTACTTGCCTCCTGCTTCTGAATATGAACTAATATTCAAAGCAAGTAGTTAATAACATGTGTTTTTTACGTCAGGGTATTATTGCTACTGGTGGAGTTGATACAAATGCAGTAGTCTTCAATCAAACCTCAGGGGAGATATTATCGACCCTTAGTGGTCATTCAAAGAGGGTTGTTTTCGACATTTGGTCAAAATTAACTCTTTCCATGATTTGTAGTTGTTAGCTTCTTTTTGAACTTCTATTTTCTCTCTTTATTAGGTCACTAGTGTCAAATTTGTTGCTGACGGTGAGTTGGTTGTTACCGGTTCTGCTGATAAGGTAAGCTTGCTTTTTAGTCTACGCTTATGTAAAGTGGCTTTAGGGGTGTTAAATGGAATTTACCGTCTTAAAACAAAATTTCTTTTATTAAGTTTGTTATTGCTTTTCTTTTCCTTAACTTCGTTTAACCTGTGTGCTATGGACTTCGAATCCATTTATTTGGTATTTGAAATGTGAGAACACAAATAAATATGTGGAAAACGGTTCAATTTTAAACCCATTTAGTAATCTTTTCCTTGGCCTTAGTTGTAAGGCTGCAGAACTTGTTATTGGTGGATTCTAGGGATTCTATATTTTGCATTTAAGTTACTTTCTTGTTCTGCAGACAGTTCGTGTGTGGCAAGGGTCTGAAGATGGAAACTATGATTGTAGGCATGTCTTAAAGGATCATACCGCTGAGGTAACAAGTTCACTTTACTAAATTTTGTTAATATGTGAAAATGAAGAGATCTGGTCTCTATATAGCTGCATTTTCTTTTTTGTGGTTTGCTTTTGTCTGTTCTTAATCGTGTGTGATGGTGCTTTGCTTGTTGGGTTTTCATATGCCATCTTACTGTTATCACCACTATGCACATGTACATGCTTGTTTCTCTCCCTATTAACTACCACCTTTTGTGAAAAGTGAACACACGCCAATGGGAGATGTTCATGATCCCAGAGGTAGGTACCAAGTGGTCACCCTGTGAAACAATGTAGGCCGTGACCAGAAGAGATGTGCTTAATTGGACTTTATGGTTGGTATATTAGGTAAAATTCCTGGTTCTTTGAACAAACTGCAAACAGGAGGTTCACTTCTAATTGCATGGCTAATATGATTTTGTGACAACTAGAATGTTTAAAGTATTTTCTGGTTCTGGTTCTCTTTTATACCTCAAGTAGGAGCTACACTGGTTTCGTCTGAAAGTTGCTAGAGTTTGTCAGGGTACTATTTCCGTAGGTTTCTCATATAGTGTTATTTGATCTGTTGACATTTACAATAAACTAGTTTTTGGGCATGCGAATCATGCTTCTTACGATTGTGATAACTTCAAGCTGGCAAGATATTTAATAATAATTTGTTTGGATGATGGAACATTATCATGGATGATTAATGAGGAAATCAGTAACTTCTTTAGAGGCCAATAACATTTGCTGAAATGAGAGCTACTCTCATAAGAGCTATTGTGGTTGTTCCTCTAATGATATGTACCCTATATTTTTCTATTACATCAAATATTGATAGCACTTCTAGTCCATGGTTTGTTGTAGTTAACTTTCTTAGTTTGAGATGAAATGTGCTTGTGCATGTTTTCTAGGATCAACGAGATATAGCAATCCATTCAGGGTACTGGAGATGTGTTTCTTGTGATTTTTCTGTTATAAACATTGTTTACTCGCAAGAAATGATATCATGTTAGCTTGATTACACATGTCTACTTGAAATTTGATGGAAATGCATGTTTTAAATGCCAGGTACAAGCTGTGACTGTCCATGCTACCAATAGCTATTTTGTTACAGCTTCTCTCGACAATACATGGTGCTTTTATGAGCTATCTTCTGGTCTATGTCTTGCACAGGTTTTCTCTCACTCCCTCACTGTGTGTGCATGCGAAAATAGACTTGGTGTCAGCTCATTCAAGTTCTCTTGACTACATTTTGGGTTAAATCTGTAGGTTGCAGATTTGTCTGCATCTGAGGGATATACATCTGCAGCTTTTCATCCTGATGGTCTCATTCTTGGAACAGGCACGGCCGGGTCTCTTGTAAAAATCTGGGATGTAAAGAGTCAGGTATTATAGAACCCTGATCTACTGATTATTATTTCTTCGTCTAGTATGCAAGCCTCATTCATTAATTGTTCTGCAGGCAAATGTTGCAAGATTTGACGGGCATGTTGGAGCCGTAACCGCAATATCTTTTTCAGAGAACGGCTACTTTTTAGCTGTAGGTGTTCTTTTTGCAAAAGCCTCATGGATGTCATTGTTTAGATTTACAACTAACAGTTTACCTCATATATGTCAGACTGCTGCTCAAGATGGTGTTAGATTGTGGGATCTTCGCAAGCTTAGAAATTTCAGGAGCTTTACACCTTATGAGAACACACCGACACAATCCGGTAATCTAAAGCCTCCTTTAATTTATGTGTTCATCTTACTGTCTAAAAGGAGGAAGGCCTTAAGATTCATCTGACGTTTGGCTTTAGGCTGGGAACTCTTTGATCCTATCACAGTTGAATTGTTTGAGTCGATTTCACTATAACTTGGTGAAATGTTTTTGTACTCTTTCTAACATGTATAGAATGGATCAACGTTTTCAGTCTCGATATAGCTTCAACACCCATTGATGTCTCCACCGAGACCTGGACCCACATCCTTCTGATTGGTGGAGGATTGAATCGATAACATTGATAATTTAATGTAGTTTTGAACTTCCATCATTAACATTGATAACAGGGTGATAACTGTGACAACGATAGTAATGACATGGTGGTTGGTAGGGTGTGGGCGGGGCGATGTGTGTGCTAGTCCAAACAAAGACGATTGTTCCACTTCTTTTGAGAGATTTCATTCCAATTCCTACCAACCAAACTTGTGGTCAAATTTCATCAAATTCCATTCCAATTCCTTCAAAGTCAAATTCCTTTGATGGATTCCAATTTTATCAAATTCTAGTCTGTGAATCAAACACCCCCTTGTCTTTCCTGGGAAGGGTCGGAAAAGGCATCTTTTTGTTGGGATTTTTCACGTAAATAGTAGATCTTGCTATTGTCTGGTCATGGTAAGTTTTTAACATATGAACGCCATATAGTTTATATGCTTTGCTTGTTTTTTCTGCAGTTGAATTCGACCATAGTGGAAGTTACCTTGCATTAGGAGGCTCAGACATAAGGTAAGTCTTGGATATAATATTTGATTTATCTTCTGCTACAGATCAGAGCTTTTATGTTGGTGTATTATTCTTTTCTATAAAATTCAGATGCTGGTTTCCATGATGTCGGTCAATAATCTGTCACAACATTTGATCTGCAATAAACAACATATTTTTGGGTTTTAATTTTGTCGAAAATTTGGGTCATTAGTAGCTTAACTAGACTTGGGATTATTGCAGGGTTTATCAAGTGGCAAATGTGAAGTCTGAATGGAACTGTATCCAAACATTCCCAGATTTGTCAGGCACAGGTTTAATCTCATGCGAATATCGATTGATTTAAAATAACATTTGTTGATTTGAAAAAAGTTAAGGTTAACTGCAGCATATGCGCATTCGTGATTGCAGGTAAGATAAACTCTGTAAAATTTGGACCAGATGCAAAATACATAGCGGTTGGGTCAATGGACAGGAACCTTCGGCTGTTTGGGCTGCCTGAAGAAGCAACGGAGTCTTAGAAGGCTTCGGCTGAGTTGTTTTATTTTTAGTTAAATGTACGGCGCGAACCAGTGAGAGTTGTAACAGAATTAGAGTATGCGGGATTTTGTTGATGCACAGATAGTTTATTATTTACATACTTTTTGCACTATTTATAGCATTTTTCTGTAACTTTGCATCATGTATTCATACAGAAATCAGTTTCATAAACCCAGATGCATTTTATTAAGGTATTTACTGTTTAACAATCTAACCACTAGTTTAATTACAGGAAATTGAGGATGGATAATCAAATTGACGGGACTTGGCTAAGAACGATACCGAGAGGAATGAGTGAAGCCCCACAACTGCAACAAGAAGAGGAAAACACCATTAAGAATGTCCCATTTGCAACCTATGCTCATGAAGCACAAGGTTTAGAGTATTTATTACCTCAACATTCTTTAACTCGAACTCTTCACTGTGAGCAAGATGCTGATTTCCAAACGTATCACACGGTCCGCTAGTTCCCATTAACCTAATTGTATCAAAAGGAATTCAACCAAACGTAACCAAATGAGATGGTATGCACACTCAAAGAGTAGAGCTTCTCTTTTCATGAATACACTTGGCTTTGTGAGAAGTGTGCTGAATAAAAGGAAGTAGTAAAGAAAAAAACAGCTTACAAATCTCCATCCAAGCGTAAGGCGAAACTCCCCCCTCCCCCAAACGCTAGCAGATCATTTAAACACATGTAAAAGTACCGATTTGCACCTTCTCGAAAGCATGAGGCGAATTGTTAGCTCTTGAGAATAATTAACATACAAACATATATGATGTAACTGATACAGATGAACCCCAGCTTTCTGTACTAAAGCAAGGGGCTTAAGATCACGTCCAATTAGTATTTTGGTTCACAACGGGTGTTTGAAGTCTTGTATCAACTAAACATGGACCATCAAACCTATATACATACACACACACACACACACATATATATATATATATGTATGTATATATGTATGTATGTATATATGTAGGAACTAAGACCCTTACCGGTTGGTCTAAACAAAGTTGGTGGGCCATATAATGTTGTGAAAACGAAGGTTTGAAATGTCCCCTGCCAAGATAGTAGAAAGTGTAGAGTGTTGGAATGGATTAATAAACCGAAGAAAAAGTATAGTAACGTTATCAGGATACGAAAGAGCGCAGCTGTGTGCTTCTTTATAGTTTTAAGCAAAGTAACTTGCTTGATATTTCCTCTGTGGAGTAGGCGTCAACGGGCTATTTAGCAGCCCGCCAAATACAGCACCTTTAGTATCTCCAGTGATCTACGTAAAGAAAAGAATACAACCAGTGTCACATACGGGAAAAATATATTACAGTTTGAAGCTCTTCTCAACGAACTGATCTTACCAGCAAACAAGGACCAGGAAGATCACAACTGTTCCGAATAAGTGTGCGAAGTGATATGCCATGTTTCACGGTACTGCCCTTCATTTCAAAGAAAACGTGTTCTCACGTGTGTATATATATATATATATATATATATATATATATATATATCGACATTCCAATCACCACAACAAAATCGGCTTTACAAATATATCTAAATGTCCTAATAGACCGTTTTATATATAATACCAATTTTCTTATAGTGCTTGTTCTTGCATATTATNTATATATATATATATATATATATATATATATATATATATATATCGACATTCCAATCACCACAACAAAATCGGCTTTACAGGACTAAATGATATAATAAACTGTCAGGTTTATAAGACCAAACAAATATGTCTTATGTAAATGTATTACAATAAGATGTTAGGACGTATTTGGGCATCCTAACAAGTGTTTTAGGACACTTTTGAAATATAGCATCCTATAAACTTTCTTATGCCACATCTTTTTACGGGATATTTGTTTTATTTCAAAAACGTCCTATCAACTTATTGCAACATCTTTACATTGGACACACAGTTGTTTGGTCTCATAAACTAAAGTTGTACAATGCAGTCTATTAAGATATTTAGACATGTTTTGGCGTCCTGTTGAGTCGATCTTGCTGTAGTGAAATTACAACAAGGGATGGTTACCTATAAAGCAATACCCATCGGCAACCTTTCACTATATTGGGAAGACAAGATTGAAAAAACTGGTAGAGTTCCGGAGAAACGAAAACAGAATCAAGATTTTGGTCTGGGATGTACTTCTTTGGTGTCCGGAGATCAATGGCATCTTCAAACACTTCAGGACTGCTTATACTCCTTGCAGAGTTCTGATCTCCATTCTCTTCTTTAGGATCCCAAGCTTTTGATGTCCCACATTTAATACTCTTTAGTGATTGAGTTGGTTCAGTGTAATCCTCATTCTTTTTTGAAATGGACTCATTAGAGGGAAAAAAGAAGGACAGCATTGATGACATATAACTGTCATCCTTAAATGGTGATCTGGTCTACAAAAATCAATGAACCATTGTTACATATTAGCAATCTGTTGGAAGAACAGCAAAATCAAGATTCAAACTTCAGTCTCAATTACATGAATTATATTCAGAAAGAACATGCTTTTCTTGCATAACAGTGATTTCCTTTCTTTCTTTGCTTGTGTAGTAGATGCAGATGCACACAAAGACCAATTGATTTCTAAGCTACATTCATCAAGATTCTCAAAAACATAAATGGGATTTTGCAGATAAAACAATCTTCACACCAGAAGAAGCTGAATTGCATGTATCATAATAACCCAATTCCAAAAAGATGGCATAGATCATGGTTTGTTTCTTCTGGTACCAAATTAGAAAGCAATCAATGTACATATGAGAGATAGAGAGAGAGAGAGAGAGAGAGAGAGGGGGGGGGGGTTACCTGATCATGATCAGAAGATGTGGATGAAGGGGAAGAAGATGATGATGATGATGATGATGATGGAGAAGGAGGAGGAGAATGATCAGACAAGAAATGGGTTAGTTTTTTTTTCATTTTTTTCCATGAATGCATTGTGCGCAAGGAAACAGAGATCTGATGATTATGGATTTGGGAACCCTAAGATACAGAGCGAATGTAGGTGATGGTTGAGGTTAAGAGAAGTAGCGGTCCACCAAAGTCACGAATGTCTTGAGATAAAAAGCTTAAATAGGCTTTCTTTTTTACTTTTTCTTAAAATAGAAATCTCACATGGAAATGGAAATCCTCCAAAATGGTAATCTGTAAAACCCAATTTCAAATCCTTCCCAACAATTTTTCGCCCATGAACTATTTTCGCCACCATTTTTCTCATCACCCGCGAATTGATTTCTCTTCAGCAGCAAGAAATTTGATTCGATTTCCCCTGTATGAGGCAACCGATCTTGCACAATCACAAGGTTTCAAAAAGATTCGAACTTTTCTTTATTTCCTTAACTAGTGAACTTCTCTCGTTGGTTTTATTTGCAGTGCACTCCAACTGTTTGTTTTTTGGTCTCTATCAATTGTTGCTATTTTTCCCAAGTCCCTAACTCCTCAATGTGAATCATATGCCCATTATACTGACATAAAATTTATCATTTAATTTGATCAGGTATTGTGCCTAGGAACAGAGAAGCCATCAAGAAAGAGATTATAATCCAACACATGAAAATTTGCTCAAACTTGACACAACTAGAATGTATTTATTCCTGCATGGTCAAGAACAGCTACAATCAAGATTGTTTCATGATAAACCAGTTTGTCTCAGCCTGTTCATCCTTTTCTCATATAGATTATGCGATCCAAGCCTTTACCCAGATGGATGAACCAAATGTATTTGTGTACAATGCTGTTATTCGAGCTTGTGTTTGTTGTTTTGCCCCAGTTCAAGCTCTTCAGTTCTATCTAAAAATGTTGAGTGCTCAAGTTTATCCCACTAGCTATACATTTTCCTCTGTTATCAAAGGTTGTGCTTTAGTCGCCCAGTGCAGAATTGGAGAAGCTATTAATGGGCACATATGGAAGTTTGGGTTCAAATCTCATGTGTATGTTCAGACGGCTTTGATTGATTTCTATTCATGTTTGGGGAAGATCTTCGAATCAAGACTGGTGTTTGACGAAATGGTTGAAAGGGATGTTTTTGCCTGGACTTCGATGATATCAGTTCATGCACGGTCAGGAGATTTGGTTTCCGCTAGGAAACTGTTTGATGAAATGCCTGAAAGAAATTTTGCTTCATGGAACTCTTTGATCGATGGGTATGCTAGAATCAGGGATGTTGAATCCGCACAACTTTTGTTCAGCGAGATGCCCGTAAAAGACTTGATTTCATGGACAACTATGATCAATTGCTACTCACAAAACAAACTGTACGCAGAAGCATTAGTAACTTACAACAATATGACAACAAACGGTATTATCCCCGATGAAGTGACCATGGCAACCGTTATCTCATCCTGTGCCCATCTTGGTGCACTTGACCTTGGAAAGCAGATACATCTTCAAATTACGAAATCCCATATCAATCTTGATGTTTATATCGGGTCTGCACTGATTGATATGTATGCAAAATGTGGCAGCTTAGATCAATCTTTATTAGTGTTCTATAAGTTACCAGAAAAAAATCTCTTCTGTTGGAACTCAGTACTTGACGGGCTTGCATTACACGGTTACGCCAATGAAGCACTGAAAATGTTTAGTCATATGAAGAATGAGAATATAAAACCCAATGGCGTCACTTTTATCAGTGTCCTTGGTGCTTGCACACATGCAGGATTAGTCGAAGAGGGTCGCAGGTGTTTTCTGAGCATGGCTCGTGATTTTCTCATCTCTCCTGAAATTGAACATTACGGATGTATGGTTGATTTATTGTGCAAAGCGGGTCTCTTGGAAGATGCACTGCAAGTGATTAGGGAAATGAGAATGGAACCAAATTCGGTCATCTGGGGTGCGTTATTAGGTGGATGTAAACTTCAAAAGAACTTGGAAATGGCTCAAATTGCTGTTAGAAAGTTGATGATCCTGGAACCAGATAACAGTGGATATTACACACTTTTAGTAAACATGTTTGCTGAAGCAAATAGATGGAGTGAGGTGGCTAGAATAAGGGCAACTATGAAAGATCTTGGAGTAGAAAAAAAGAGGCCAGGGGCAAGTTGGATTGAGATAGAGGGAAAGATTCATCAGTTTTCAGCTTCTGACAAGTATCATGAATCTTCCAATGAAATTTACTTGGTGCTGGATAAATTATGTGGGTCGTTAGTAGCTGCGGCGTGTGGAGTTGAGTATGTTTTTGCTTCGTGACGATTAATTTACTCATTTTTAATTGATGATTGATGAAGCAGTAGCAACAAAGATGTGGGCAGTTGGATGATTAGAAGCAACATTTGAATATATGGATGGTGTTGGTGAAGAATTTAATGATTTAATTCCTTGGAAGGTAGGTTGTTGATACGTGGTTAAGTTGTTTGTAATGGTAATGGGATACAACAGGTTTCTTTGTTGGTACTTATAATACTTCCATACAATGATGCATGCAACTTGCAACCTCACTGCATTATTTCTGTCATCCAACATCCATCTCTCTCTCTCTCTCACACACATACACACGCATGTGACTTTGATATGTGCAGCTCAGTTGGTAAATGGGTGACACAACTTTTAAATACATGACAAGTCCTGAGTTTGATGCCAAACCTCCTCTGTTAGACACAATCGCTGAATGAGTCAAAAAATGTCCTTTCATATTAATATCCTTGTAGGTGGGTTTCGTGGTTAAGATTGTTGATAATTAACCATTTGACCAAATGAGATAAAAGAACATGTAAGAGGGGAGGGTTTGGTTAATTAATGTTTGCATCGGAAGTGATGTTTGGATTGGTAATGGAAACTCTTAGCAAAGAAACAAAAGAAAGGACAGGAGACATTATTCCATGCAAAGAAACTACAACACTACCATATGAACTGTCATTGCTACCTCCAACAACATAATCACTATCAACTAAACGACATCATACACATATATTATATATATATATATATATATATATATATACTCCCTCTCTCTCTCTCTCTCTATATATATATATATACATATATAGATATATGTATGTATATGTTGTGTATAATTGAATACTACTACTATCTCTCTCTCTCTCTCTCTATATATATAGATATATAGATATATGTATGTATATGTTGTGTATAATTGACTACTACTACTATCTGATAGGATGTTAAGGTCAAACCTTTTCAACTCGTTGGCCGTGTGTATACGCATTTCAAGAATAAATGTGTAATCTATATATGCATTGAATGGACTAAATTACAAAAATGATGGTTAATTAATAGACTTGTATTTTCACAAGTATTTTGGTGGGTATAATTAAATACAACCATTAGTTCATGGTGTTGGCATGTAGTATATGGTTTGATGGTATAATTAGATACAACCATTGAAGTTAATCACAGAAACATCCCATTGTTTTAGTTGAGAGATTCCTCTATATATATATATATATATATGATTTTGAAGATTTTAATATATTTCTTCAACATAGCAAGCTGATGAATATGGCGTGTGAGAGATTTTTGGAAATAATTAGTTGAGTCTATTTAATAGGTCCCTTTTTTATATGTCCCACGCATTCTTACCGGTTAAACAATTTTGTTTTTCAAATTTAATCAAGGGTCAAGATTCTATTTTTTTATTCTTTTAAATATAATTCATTCTCGTTTGAATCAACCTCTCTTTTTTTTCTCTCTCTATATATATATATACATATACATACTAAAAAAGTATTCGCACAATGCAGCAAGAAACATCTCGATTTTAATGTTATATTTTATTCTTTCTCTTTGTCGATATTATAACACGATTTTATACGTTTTTAAGAAAGCAATAATGATTTTATTTTTGAATAAAATATAAACTTGAAGATATCATAAAAATTTGAAAAAAAATACATCAATGTTAATATCAAATCAACTATTTAAAAGTTCTCAATTTTAATTTATTTTTTTATTATAATTTAATTTAAGTTTAATAATGAAATGATTTATTTTTAGTTTAATAATATAATATTTTATAAAGATAATAGTTAAGTATTATGTTAGAACTCAATTATTATCCTAATTATATTTTAGATTTTTTATATTTAAAATGAGATGTTTATCTTGTATTTGATTATGTTTATCTGCAGCTAATTACACGAATTCAGATATGGAGCTTTAATAAGTTATATTTATGCACAATCTACTTGTAATCTTGAGTTTTAAGTAATATGTATTAATAAATCGCATAAAAAGTGGCTTTTAAGAGGTTTTGTCAAATGCTTTATAATATAGTGTATATATATATATATATATATATATATATATATATATAGGGTTGGGTTCATGTGAGACCAAAGGTTTTTTGTGAGACCCATAAAACCAATTTATGTTCAGTGATCAACTTTATAAGCTAATGATCTAATGGTTTAAAGTTGCACGGTGACAATTTTGTGATTATTAAGAAGTCTCGTAACGTTTGTGAATGTTCAGGTTGTCAGATTGTAGATCTAATCCAAAGGTTGATAATTGATCTTATGGGTTTCACGAAAAACCCTTGATATAACATGATCCCAATTATATATATATATATATATATATATATTTTTGATGGGATTTAAGCAAACACATGATCTACACCATAAGAAGCTAAAAGTTGAAAGAGTTTAGTGATGGAGGTTGGTTGGTAAAAAAAAACTCACATAAAAGCAGCGTCAAATGCATTCGTTTCACGTGATGTGTTTCACATGCAGAGAATTTGTAAAGGGTGAAAAAAATCAAATCATGACGTTATCAATTTGAATTGTTACTTCATTTTGGATCTTATTTGTTTGAGTTAGATCGGATTAAGACCTCTTTATTTGAATCAGATAAAATCTTAATCTAACAAATAATGGACCAACTTGGACCGATAAGATTGATTACTTTTTATACATTCTGATAATCATTCATCTGGATGGTATACACATGTACATACAAGTAATTGCACTTGTTTCTTGGTTTTTATGCACGTGTGCATATTATTCACATGTGCATACTGAAAAAATTGCTTATGAATTACATGTATGCACATGTGCATAAGGCACTGATAAATTGTTACCAAGGTATTCCTTAATTTCATAATTTTATGATCATGATAAATGACGAAGGATCGCGTGAGAAGGAGAATTAATGTTAGAAACGCAAGAAGTGATCTAGAAGCTTGATCACCCTATAATTTCAAACCTACACATGAATCGTGCTTATACAGGGATTGATCCGGTGCATGATCCCATCATAATGTGCATCCAAAGACGGAGATCTCTTCTTATGCTTCTCAATGAAATCCAACCCTATATAGATACATATATATACATATATATACACACACACATATATATATATATACACACATATATAGGGGTCATTTGAACACTCCAAAATATGTGAGATCCGTGAGAGCCTCTCTAAGCCACTAATTTAAGATAATTAATTTTATTAATTAATGGGATAATTAAGCAGATTATTATCTTTATTTATTCAATCAAAATGAATGCATTTTTTTAGAAAATTTCATATTTATCTATTTCTCTCTCTACCTTTCTTTGTCCGATCTCCGTATTAACATACACAAACAACCTTAATAAATTGTTTAGTTTGGTGTTCACATTGTGGTTCAGAGGTGGTATGCTTAGATTTAGTTTGTATTCACAATCTATACCATGATTCTTAGATTTAGAGTGTGCTCGCAATGTGTTTACAAACTATAATGATATTTATAAGAAAGTGTTCACAATGTACTCACAAACTATAATACTATTTATAAGAAAATGTTCATCTTGAGTTCATATTCAAGTATGTTTCATGTGTAAGTGTATGTTCTTAAGAAATAAGAGATGAGAGAAAAAATATGAAAGAGAAGAGAGGAGAAATGAGAAAAAAAATAGGAGGGAGGAAAGAGGAGAGAGAGAGGGGGGAAGAGGTTTTTAATTTATTTTATTTTAGATTTTATTTTTCATTTATTTTTTATGGTTTAAATTGGATTTCGTAAATCTCATAAATTAACAAGTTTTTTAAAAGAATATATATATATATATATATATATTAAAAACTTATAAAATATTGAAATTTATTTCAAGTTGGACATTAATATTTATAAATACAACTAAAAAACTTGGTTACTATTTATTAATTTAGTCATATTATATGTTTATTCACATATATCAAACAAACAACAATGCTTATGTGACAAAGTAACCAAATATAATAATGAAATGATAGAACTGTTATTTATTAAGATACTTTTATGCATTTCGATTTAAAAACATGACCCTCCAAAAAGAACATGATAACATTTAAAGAGAATGAAACCTAAAACAAGATACCCATGGAGGAATTGAATACATTAGTAAATTCCATTATTAACCTTCGATGAATAGCACATAAATCGAATATGTTGGATTGGTAGTGCATATATTTGATCATAAATGTGTACACCAATTCGTACTGACATCTTAAATAGCTGCCATTGGGTATTTTAATATCTACTCGTGTACATACTTTGATTTTCAAATGCCTTCATTTTGATCTAAACCTACTTGATTTAATTGATCTGGATGCACCGCATTAGTGTTGTTATTCAATTATGATTAATCCAAAGATGAAGATCCCTTGTTACCTTTCTCAAATAACTTTCATTCTCACAGAAACTCTACCCTTCTTTTTTCACCACTCATCTTTTATAATGCACTTTACTTGTCAACAAAAAACTTATTCATTAATTTTGAAAGTAAGAAGTTGTTTACCTAAATGTTTACCTGGTAAGTGCTTACCGATATGAGTTAACACTATAATTCATTTTGATGCTTAAGATTTTAGTACATCAAAACGTATTGAGTGCAACAATTTGCTGGGCAAACGCTTACATGGGTAAGAGTCGTCATCTTCACCTACCGGGTAAGACTCTTCATCCCTCTTACCCAATAAGATTCTTGACCCTGTCATGTTTATCCAATAAAATTTTTTATCCGATAAACACTTATCAAATAAACATTTAATAAAGAGCCCTAAATTACATTATACTTGTTTCAATGGTTGAAGGTTTTGTGGATTTGGACCTTGACAAGACATACCCCCGCTCCTGCCTCTATTTACAGAATCTTTTGAATTATGTAAACAAGACACTTTCTTGTTGCTTTTTACAAAAATAATTTTAAAATAACACTACCATCCACCCAACAAATATACCTTTACTCTAATATGAATCATATATATATATATATATATATAATATTAGATACAGATCTTTTTAAAGATTAGATGATGCCTCTCTCTGCACATCCAACATCCTCCTCATAAAGTCAGAAAAAGATAACCAAAATTTTCACTCAAGAATCAATCACTTTACCAACCCCATCAAATCTCTTCCAAATTCCAATATGATTTTTAAAACCATATATATCAACAAGATGTCTTCCCCCGTAAAACCCTTCTTCTCCCTTCTCTTCTTGCTTTTGTTTCTCTTCATCATTCCACTGCTTCAATCTGCCCCTGACAACTCCAACTTAGTATACAAAGGATGTGCAAAGCAACCTTTGCAGGATCCCAATGGGGTCTACTCATCTGCCCTTTCTGCCATTTTTGGTACATTGATTCAACAATCTTCAAAAGCGAAGTTCTTCAAGACCACATCTGGAAGTGGGCAAGCTTCAGTCTCTGGTCTTTTTCAATGCAGAGGGGATCTCACTAATCTTGATTGCTACAACTGTGTCAGCAGGCTCCCAATCTTGATGGACAAACTCTGTGGCAAGACTGTGGCTGCAAGAATCCAGCTTCTGGGTTGTTACATGCTTTATGAAGTCTCTGGGTTCGCTCAAATCTCAGGAATGGAGATGCTTTACAAGACCTGTGGGTCGACTAATGCTGGTGGAAGTGGGTTTGAAGAGAGAAGGGACTCTGCATTTACGACTTTGGAGAGTGGAGTTGGGAGTGGAAATGGTGGATTTTACACCACAAGTTATGAATCTTTATATGTTTTGGGGCAATGCCAAGGTGATTTAGGAACTTCTGATTGTGGAGATTGTGTGAAAAATGCAGTCCAGAGAGCTCAAGTCGAATGTGGAAGCTCCATTTCAGGACAAATCTATCTCCATAGATGCTTCATTAGTTACAGTTACTACCCAAATGGGACACCAAACCCAGAGAAATCATCATCTTCTTCATACTCTTCATCTTCATCTTCATCTTCATCTTCATCTTCTTCAGGTATGTCTGATCAAGAAACCATCAATCATCTTATCTATCAGCCATGGATCTTGATTTCTTGATCTTATCTGAAGCTGGGTGATGTGGGTTTGTAGGGACAGGGACAAATGCAGGGAAAACAGTGGCAATTATCTTGGGAGGGGCAGCAGGAGTTGGATTCATAGTGATATGTATACTGTTTGCTAAGAACTTAGCAAAGAAACATGATGGTGAGTAACCTAAACTTGAATGTTCTGAATGGTTAAGCCCACTAATGTTGCTATTCTTCTTGTTTTTGGATCAGATTACTGAAAGGAGAGTCTGCAAATTCTCCAAAGAACCAAAGATCCAATTTTTGAGGTGGGTTCTTTCATTGGTCTTTTGCAAATCCACAAGGCAAAGAGGTGTAATTTTTGGTATATTTACAAGGAAATGGAATGAATGGTGGAAAAGATGTAATGTTTTAATTTGTGTTGTGAGTGAGACCTTGGCTTAAAGCCAAAGCCAATGCCAATGCCATGTTGCTTTCCATCTACTTCTCCAATTTTGCCAACTTTTATATCATATCTATGAAAAATATTAGATGGGAAATGAGGTACAAAGATGCTTCATACCCATTTGAGCTTGAATTCTTTCTTATAATAACTAATAAATCATGGGTTCGGGTGCCAACGGACGGGTTGATATGTGCGTGAAAAGATTTGTATTCGAGTCTTTCTAGAAGTAACAACGAAAAGCGTTTTCGTAGTGCAACCATGAGTGTGTGTTTGTTTGTTGGGGTGTCGTCTTTGTTATTTTGTTGTACTATGAGTTCACAAATACGATAACAGTGTCCTCTTCGTTATGGTATTATTGAAGTGTCTTGAATCAAATTGTAAGTTACACGGACATAAATGGACGGATGAGAGTGAGTAGGCAGGTGAAAAAAATGATGGAAGGTTTTAGGGTTTCAATTTTATGTATGTAGTTTAGTAATTGTCCGATGCCCTTGGTTTTTGTTCAAAATTTCATATTTTTGTAGGGTTTTTTTTACCGACTCTTCAAATTAACAACACAAGTTCAACCAAGAATTGAAATCTGTATTTTGTTCAAGCATAAATTTCATATTTTTCACTGAAAAATGACATCAATTGTTCATTCTCCAATTTGTAATTGAATGTGACATTTCTACATTAAGAAGTTACACAACTAGTATGTCAAAATATGTATTTTATCTATTATTAAGATACACTTTAGGTGACAAGTAACAACTTTTTGTGGCCAAAATACGATTTTATAACCTTTGGTACATGGGACAAAACTCACTGTCCCTTGTTTGGCGCAACATGGGACAGAACAAGAACTCACTGTCTCACGTTTGGCGCGACATGGGACAGGAACAAAATAGGACAACATAAGACAAAAGATGTTTTTTCTTGTTCCACCAAAATAGGTGGAACAAGATAAGACAAGAATGAGACATAAACTAAAATATTACTAATCTACCATAGTTTGATATATAACCTTAATATGATATTTGTTTTAATGATCATCACCGCTAGTTTCGGCTGCCATAAACTAAAATATGGTATTTACTTTATTTTTGTTAATTATAATTATTATATAATATTAAAAATCATTAAATAACTATTGGGGGTAGTTTGTATAGTTCTGTCACGTCCAGTTCTAGTCGTACCAAACACCAGACATACTCATGTTATGTCCAGTCTTGTCCCATCCAGTCATGTCCAGTCCAGTCTTGTCCTCTTGTCCTGTCCTGTACTGTCATGTCCAGTTCTATCATGTCCAATTATGTCTACGTACCAAACTCTACCTTAGGGCTAAGTGGTGACTAAGGAGCAATTTACTAAACGCTTATTTGGTAAATGTTTACCGGGTCCCTTCATTTCTTCAATAAATATGACAAAGATTGAGAATCTTACCCGATAAGAATGATAACAAGGACCGAGGGTCTTACCTCTTACCTAGTAATCGCTTGTTGGGTAAACGTGTTCTATAAGATGACAAGTTCAGTGAAAGTGTTGACTCTTACCGAGTAAACATTGGATAAACGGCCCCTAAAAGGTCATAGTATATCAAAATAATAGAAAATTTATCATTTTATAAGCTCCATGGACATTTTTGCAAGTTTTCGAAACTTAAAAAAACGTTCATAGGAAAAGAAAAAGATGTAGGCCATCAGGTTGCTGGGTGTCGTCGACCCACCTTTAAAGATGGAAATTTGACCTGTTGTCTTACCTACAAAGTACATGGACCGGTGTTTAGAACATGCATCCACATTTTCCTCACTGGGTGGGACACTCTACATGTACTATGGGGGTGTTTGAGATTGCTTATTTGAAACAACTTATGTTTTTCTACAAAAGCACTTATTAAATTATTATAAGTTAGAAATGATTTAACTTCTTCAAAAACTTCTTATTACCGGTTTGATACCGGTATAAATTGTTTATCCAAACACTCAAAAATGTTTATTATCAATACCACACTGAAATAAATCAATAAATTGTTTTATAAACAATCCCAAACACCTCCTATGTTTATATCTTTGTATAATGGTTGTTATTTGGATTGTCAATGTCATGAGCAATGATAAAACGAACCATAACATTTGAGCAATTTGGTTACCAACAGCTGAAAATCAATTATTTAAAATGCTAAAAAATGATTTCTACGATTTGTCAAAAAAATAAATAATTATTATTTCTTTTGACAAACACATCTAAAAAGTAAATAATCAGATGATTCCGTTTGAACATTGTGTCATAATATTTATTAGATAAAAAGTATTGCCTAATTATTATGTTTACGTATTATTCTATGTTATATCTAAACGTAATAATAACCTTAGAATAATTTATTATAAAAATGTCCCTAGTCAAGTATTAATTTGGGTTTAGGTTGAATCAATATAGCACAACAAGTATATGGAGGGATGTACATAGAGATATATAATCCACATATGGGTACCAGATGGAATCTTGCATATTGGACGTGACTTGCTATGAGAACGTATAATTGGATTTCATATGAGTGTCATAGATGTTTCTCATGTGGTCGTTGTACATATAATCCGTTGACTTGACATTATGGAGTTTGCACTGTGCTAGTGGTGTACTTTGATAATTGATTTTAATCATTCCGTAACTGGGTGACAGAATAATTGTTAGGTATATCGTATATCACTTAGTAGTACTAGCATAGATCAAAATAGGATAAGTTCCTCTTGAATGACAAGAGTGATATTTTTGGGCCCCTCGATTGAATAGTAATAAGAAAGTGCATACATGTTTAGATAGTCAATATGAAATACTAATATCTGTCTTATCAGTATATTTTGGAATCGAGAAACTAAAGGTCGGACATAACGAGGATGACACATCCATGCCTCATCATGCTCAATTTGGATAACTGCACAAGGGAACATAAATGTGTACGCTGATCACACAGTTTGATGATTAGTTGACTCACCAACTTTATGATTTGGATAACGATAATGTATTGCTGGATATTGCTCTTCGTTTATAATTATTGTCAATATGATAAAGTCCTAATGAGGCACACGCATAAAATGTATATTTGAATAAAGAGAATAAATAATTAAAATATTTAATTATTATATATTATCCGATTTTATCTGATTAAATCAAATTGCTAGCTTGTTTGACTGAAATAGGATTGACAAGTAGTGACTTGTCAATATATTATATTTGTGTAAATGACATGCATGCTTTTAGAAGATATGAGATCTAAAAACATGTGTCACTCTTCCTCCGGTAGTAAGCTATAATACATGTTTATTATAGTACCATCATTAAACTAGTATAAATAGAGATCATGTGAGACAATGGTTGATAAGAGAATAGAAGAAAGCTAGTTGCAAGAATTGTTCATACGATCAATTCTTTCTCTTTCTATATATTTCACAAGCTATTCTGTATCTAGCATTCGGGAAGGAAAATGAACTCCACTTTTGGCGTCATCGGGATTCAATGCATTTGCGCAGATACCATGGAGGCAACGAGCTGAGTTCGTTGGCTTAGATTCAGATACGACATCAAAGGGTTGTTGCTCGTTTTAGTAAAACTTTGAAAAACTATCCTAATCTGTTTCGTATAAATTCTTAGAGGAATACGATTATTTTCCACTGAGTTTATGAATCTCGTATTCCGGCATAAAAAAATAAAATAGGCATTTACATCTAATATCCGGTGGTGTTTTTTTCTCTATGCCGAGTGTATTGTCGATATTATGAATTTAAGAGTAAATTACAATTTTGGTCCTTGTGTTGGGATGGGCATTGGGGTCCCCGCTCCATCCCTTCGCCTAATTACGCATATGCTGCAATTTTTTTTTTTTGGATATTATTCAATATGCTTTGATTTGTTTAGGTGGACGTGGACACATGGTATTATTGTTATCGATAATGTTTTTTGTATTAAATTAAGTTCATTTTAGTTTTGGGTTTATCATGTGGTGTTGTGATTTTGTTTACATATGAACATTTGATACTCCATAAAAACAAATTTTTGAAAATATGAGATTTAAACATGGACTATTTTGGATCGCATGCGATGTTTAACACATTTGATTTAAAATATCTCACATAAACGGGAAAAAAATCCCCAATTCCCCGTTAGGGACGGGGATGAAGATGCGATCATAATCCCCAGCAGGGACAGTGATCGTGACGAGGTCCCTGCCCTATTCCCATGCCTATAGGCGTTCACCATGGTCTACAATTCCTTTCGGATTTGGTTTTTTCCCCCCGATTAACTTGGATATCCAACCCGCTATGCGAGCCAAATAATCCTAGGCGACCACCTGCTTTGCAGATTGCCCGGAGTCACCGCATTTGAACCTCCATGGCCACAAAGGGATCTTTATTCTTCCTTGGATTTGAACCTGAGACATTCTGGTACTTTTAACCTTTGAAGCCAAGCTCAAACCAATCAGACACCACCCTTATGGTTTCGGATTTGGTCTTTCTAACTAAGTCCCTTAAAAAAAGCCCATTAACTCGAGAAAATTTTGGTCTTCTTTACCCATTTGTCCAACTTTTTATTAAAAATTAAAAATATATATTAATAATTATTATAGGGTGTATTCAAGTATGAAGCACACATATTTTTGAGTACCCAAGATTCGATCTTGGACTTCGAATAATTTTAACTAATTGATGAAATAAGGGTTGTTTGCCTAAATATTTAGCGGTAAGTGCTTACTGATATGAGTCAACGCTATAATTTATTTTGATGCATAAGATTTTAGTACATCAAAACATATCGAATGCAACAATTTACCTAGCAAGCGCTTACCTGAGTAAGAGTCGTCATCTTTACTTACTCAGTAAGACTCTTCATCTTTCTCATCGCTCATATCCGATAAAATTCTTGGCCTTGTCATGTTCATCCGATGAGGAAATTTATCCCATGAGAAGTGGGATCTACGGCCTTTTCATGGAGACCCCCGCGAAAAAGCAGAAAAGAGTTGCAAAGTCAGTCACAGGTTCACAAAGGGGGAGGGAAACTGAAAACTTGATCACTGAATATGCAGAAAAGAATCAATCCAAAAATTAATCAACAAATACTAAACCTCTCTTTATATATTGTAAACATGAGAATGGCAGGTTCAGAGTGTTCTCAACTTCTAGTGATTTTGAGATAACATCATTCAGAACCATATCCTGTGAACTGCTGTTCCTAAAACCCCTAGAAACCACAAGGGATGCATTACAAACCCAAGGAACATGGACCATAAACGCCGAACCCGAAATACTTCCATCACCATCTAATATCACCTTTTTGTATGCCTTGCATACTTGAGACACATACTTACCCATTGGTAGTTTAGATTCATCCGACATATCAGTATCTGAATGAAGATTTACTACTACTGTTCCGTGCTCAGGATGAAGCCTTTCTCCGAGGGCTTTGAGAAACATGGAATCCGGGTCCCACAACTTTTGTGGGAAAATATCGTCACCATCATACGCATCTACAAAGACCATGTCATAAATGTCACTACTTTCTGTGATGAACTGTTCGGCATCTGATTCATATAGGAGCAACCTCTCGTGAATGCCTTTCCACAATACTTCATCTGTAAGATTTGGTTTAGAGTTTACACGCTCCCCACATCGTTTCACAATGGAGTAAGCTGGAAAACCCATTGCTTGGGTTGATGCAGAAATAACTACGGGATCAATTTCTACTATGTGGATCATGGCACCTGTCAAAAGTTTACATCAGATTGGCTGAAACTATATGTGAAACTCGTCAAAGTCATTGAAACTTGGCCACATCTTTCTATGAACATTATACATATGCAACAGGAGCAAGTCTTAACTTTTTGAAAAGGATGCCCAGAAACTGAAATTACAAACCAATCAATTGTACCACCAAAATGAGAAACAGAATATTCCTACTACCACACAGGGACACCCATTAGGATGCGTTTGGTACACAAATGGGACTGGACTTGACAGGTGAGAGTGAGGTAGGCAGGTGAAAGAATTGTACAAGCTTTTAATTTGACATGAGTAGTTTTAGAGTTTTAATTTGACATGGGTAGTTTAGTAATTAACCAATCTTATTCCATCTCCCTAATTTTTGTTCCTTGCGGAGTTGCGGTTGATGAGTCTATTGGTCTTTGTGAATTGTGATTATAGCGTACTGTTGGATCCAGATAAAAAGATAAAATTTATTACTTTCAAAGTAGCAGCAGTATCATGCTCAAGGGGCCTACTATCTTCAAGTAATTGGTGGTGAATTTATAAGTTGACGAAATAAATCTAAAAGGAAAATTTATCATACTACAAAACCCTAGAAAGCAATATAATATTTATACTAGAACGGCACCCGTGCAATGCATCGAGACACATCTTGATTTCAATGTTTTGTTTTATTCCTTTTTTATGTCAATATAATATGGTTTTATGTGGTTTTGAGAAAGCGATAATGTTTTTATTTTTGAATAAAAAATATAAATTTGAAAATATCATAAATTTTTGAAAAAAAAATATAGATATCAGTATCAAATTAATCTTATTAAAAGTTCTTGTGTTTTGGTGTAATTTCCTTAATTCAATTTTTTTAATTAGAATTTAATTTAGATTTACTAACAAAAAAAATTTAATTTAGGTTTAATAATATAATTTTTTATAAAGACAATAACTAAGTATTCTGTTAAAACTCAACGATTATCCTAATTATATTTTAGATTTTTTATATTTAAAATGAGATGTTTATCCAATATTTGATTATGTTTATCTGCAGTTAGTTACATGAAATTCAAATATGGAGCTTTAATAAGTTGTACTTATGCATAACTTACTTGTAATCTTAAATTTTAAGTAATATGTATCAATAAACAGTATTTCGTGCATAAGAAATGGTCTTTAAGTGTTTTTGTCAAATGCTTTATAATATAGTATAGATATCTAACCTGGAATTTTAGAAGCCAAAAACAACGGTAAGCTTCCACCACCATGACCTATGCATAAAACCTTCATAGTATTCTTCCCATATGCAGAGCTTTTCAGATCATAATTACATGAGAGGGAAGACAGTCCGGCAGATACCATACTCTTTAGATCTGCAATAGATACTACAAGATTAAAGGCAGACTTAAGAAGAGGATAGTCGAAGTTAGAATGCATATAAAGGATGTTCCATGGCAGAGAGGGAGAAAAACACGGTTATATGCATTATCATACAGAATATCTTAAACATGTTAAGAATATGAAGACAAGAAAGAACAGATATCATAGAAAATTACAGACCTTACTGGGATTTGAGTACTGACCTCCACTGAAAATGTCAAAATTTTTAAGGAGACACTATATAACAGAAAGAGGTAGCTGAAAACTCGAAGATATTAGTGCAGTTGCACGAAGTAGTACTTAAAACGGCGTCACTTCAATGACAATTCAAAAGCTGCAAGGATACGGCAACAACTAGCATAACGTTACACAAGGCCCATAACATTACGCCTCCATCCACCATCAGATTATGCGTAAAGAAATTTTTGAGTGAAAACATTAACAATGTAATTGGTGATTAGAGCTTCAAAACAAACCCTAAAAGTTGAAGTGGAGTAACATTATGCCGTTGATCATTATAGATTTGTTAACAAAAGCACAATCTTTATGCCATTCATAGTACCGTAACCGTATGCCTCTTAGAAAAAGGTTAAAATGATGTTTTGTGTACTGTGCGGGGAATGCAGCATAAATCTTTTGTAGAAAAAAATCTTTAGGTTTGGAGCTATTGAGCCTTCTCTTACGTGTGCAGAAATCTTCTAAAAACAACCAACCAGCAAATGGCATGGAAGAAGTAAGTACCAAATACACGAGTCTAACCCATTAACAGTGGACATCAATAGAGAGGCCAAAACAATAAGAAACTCACCACAAATGCATTGTCCTCAAGTGATGTGCTCCCTCATTCCCATAAAAAAAGAACATTTTTCATTTTAGGTTCCCCCAAAAAGCTACATTTAATTTTTGGGTAAATTGTTAATCCTGCTTTACTTTTTTAAGCGTTGCTACCAATTACTTAATATTAGTAACATTAACCTTAGCCCACAAGTTTCCATGATTTGTCCTTATTAATCGTATTCATTTGATCAATAGTAAAACATTTCTATGCAAATTGTACCGGGACAGGGGAGCATAATATTAAGGAAAAACAGAGGCAGCATATCATTAAGGAAAAGTATTGCAGCAACTAAAGGTAGCTTTGATGAAAAATTAGAAATTACATGGAACAGCCAAACAATGTGCTTCCTGCCTTAAGAATAGAGATCCAGGATCTGATTCCTTATAAGCAGCCATTACTTTCGCTGTGCTTTGGCGGGTATCTTCATTAAAGCGAAGTGTACGCCACTGATACCCAAGAATTCTGAAGGCCACATTCTGTTCACCTCCTGGATGTAGCTCTGCATACCGTTGCCGAAGCCAATTTTCTGTTTTGTACCAGTGACTTTCATTCTGCATCAATTGAGAACAAATGAAAATTTTGAACAAAAAAGTTACATAACACTATAACACATGACCGCAAACTTTAAATACAAATAATGTACCCCTTATCTTATTCAAGTCAGCTAGAGTGAGAATGCATGGTCTCCTTAATTATAATTAATGGTGAATTGGTACTGTTATTCATCTCTATGTCCCATTGAGAACCCTAAGATATTTAACAGTTCAAGGAAAACATTAGTAAACAAGTAACAAGTTCCACATAGTTCATGTAAAAGATGGAGACCTCAATAAGCTTCACAATTTTGAAGCCAACTCTGACTCATTAGGCATGCCCTTAATGACCGGCATTCAAAATTTTGTACAGTACATTTCACGCTCAGTTTAGTCCAAAGCAAACTTTTGAGTTTTCCTAAGCTTTAAGATGTGGTTCAGATCAGAGCTATAAAACAAGAACCAGGTTCAAGTAATAAATCCATAGCTCTGGAAAGCTTGGCAACTTAAAGTGATGCATTTTGGCTCCACTGGAGAACCATAAAACTCTAAAACAGCTAAAAATTTCTTATGTCCGCAAAAGAGATCGCTAATCCAGTAATTTTGAATAACAACTGGTGTGGATTTTTTAGCAAATGACACCAACATCACTTTGCCGGCAATACTTGGCATGAAGCTTAATATACTTGTCATTTTCTACTAAACATGTCAAATTTTGGAGTTGAATTGCAATTATTTGAAATCCCACTCCAAAATGTAACTCCTTTTGAGGGAATGGAGGAAGTATAACTCATTGCATAACTTCAAATCTCTAACCACATGGCACGTTTAACATGAAAGAGAGAGTGAGAGAATACTGGTCTGGAAGAATGAGAAGCTACGACAGAAACGACACCGTTTCCTTTGTCAGAAATAGAACGGAACACGGTGTTATCATCGGAGTCGCCGTTGCCCCACCATTCCGAAGCATAAAACCAATCGCCTTCGTCTTCAATACGACGCGGATTCGAGGTAGTGAACCTCCGGAGGTAGTTTGATGCTAACTTCAGTCTATTTCTCTTCAAAATCATCATCATCATGGTCTAGTAACTGGTCGGATTTGGGGGAAATGTAAAACCCTAAACCCCCAGAAACAGTCTAAGGTTAATTATTTTTTTATTCATTGCCACGAAGATTATACTCATTGCTTTAATCAAAGTTTTCAATGCTACTTTAAAAAAAAAAATTATTATAGCACTGTTTTTCTTTATTACACCAATGTATTTTTAAATTATTTTTTTATTAAGGCATCGTATTTTGAAAAAGATAACTATCTATTACTTTTTAAACCAGTTAATCTCTTGATTTTTTTTTGCTTGTGTGGCTTTATAAGGTGATGTGGATGACAAATCATTTTGATAATTTAATTAAAATAAAAATAAAAACTTATTTCAAACTATTATTAATGATTTTCATTTTTCATTACTGTGATTTAAAACAACATTTAATTATTTTTGACTTTTTCTTATTAAGTTACATGCAATGAAATATTATAGAGTAAAATATTTCTTAAATAAATATGCTACATCGTTTTCGAGATATATTTTATTTGTAAAAATGTAACACTTTTTATTTTATGTTGTTCAAAATACATATATTTTAAAGTTCTCTCTAAAATGTTAACGAAATAAATTGTGTTCTACAATTTTTAATATTATTATATTAATAAATAATTTTAAAAAATCTAATTAATTTAATATATTTATACGTCAAGTAAAAAGTTTTTGAATAGATATAATATATTTTTTTAAAAGATAATATTTTTTGATAAAAAAGAAACAATTCTTATTTTCTTTTTTTAAAAAACACATATTTAAAAAAATATTAGCGAGATAAATTGTCTTATACTAATTTTATTGATATTGATATATTGATGAATAATTTAGTTTTTTTTTTAATTCATTTAATATATTTACTAAATAACATGTAAAATATCTAAATATTAAAATTAAAAGTGCATTATTTAATAAAAAGTAGTATATGCTATAATAAAATAATTTTGAAAGTACAATTTTGTAATAAAAAAGTCACATCACTATAGTACATGTGGATAGCCTACGTGGACAATGAAGTGGTATGGTAACCTGATATAAAGGGTAAATTTAAATCGAAATGTTACCCAATGCTATAATAAGTAAATTTTTCAAAGTACAATGTTTTAATGAAAAATAGTTTGAAAATACATTATTGTAATAAGAAAAACTGATATGTTATAATGATATACTCGTTGCTTTAATCAAAGTTCCATTAAAATAATGGTCATGCCGGTACCACTATAATTAGGGGATCGTGAAGAAAATAACTTTTAAAAATAGAGAAACTATATTTTTAGCCCTAAAATTTAAAATTTTCATAAAATAACATTTGGATGTCCTGTTAGCATCGTTAGATACATACAGGGATCTCTGAAAATTTTGAAGTGGGTCTCACCCTTACGCACCCGACACCACGCACCATGTGGTGCGTAAGGGCCCTGTTTTAAAATTTTATTAAAATTTTTGAACTTTTAAAGTTTTTTCTTAGAAATTTAATTGTTAAAATTTTAATTTTCTTTTTAAAATTTATTTTTATTTTTATTTTAAAATTTTTCTTTTTAAAATTTGTTTTTATTTTAAAATTTTAATTGTTTAGAAATTTAATAAATAAAGTTTTGATTTAATTTTTTTTTTTGATACTTAATTTTTTATGTTTAGAAATTTCTTTTTAAAATAAAAAATTTAATATTCAATTTTCTCTTTTCCAGTACAACATTATTCAATTTTCTCTTTCTCAATAAAACATTACTCAATTTTTTGTTTTTTCCTTTTCTATTCCATTATATAAACAATTCAAATTTCATATTACTAACACAAAACTAACACTTCAATCTCATTTATCTTGATATAATCTCCATTATCCTGATACAATCTCCATTACCAGTATCATCGATATAATTTAAAATAAAAATAAAATTTAAAAAGAAATTATATCTTAAATTTTTTTAAGAAAAAAATTAAAATTTGAAAAAAAAATTAAACAAAAATTTAATTTTTTAAAAAAGAAATAAATTTCTAAAAAAATTTAAAAAAAATCGGATCTTTAAATTTTTTTCAAATTTTTTAAGAAAAAAAAAATTAAATTTTTAAACAAAAATTAAATTTCTTATAAAAATTACATCAAAACTTTATTTGTGTAACCCACCTGTATATTTTTTTTATTTTTTTTAAAATCAAAACTTTTTTTATTTGCATATAGGTTTCCATACGTACCAAACGGTGCTAACAGAGTAACCTAAAGTCATTTTGTTAAAATTTTGAATTTTAGGACTAAAAGTATAATTTTCGCATTTTTAAGGTTATTTTCATCATGATCCCCTATAATTAGGGGTATTTGGTTGGGGGTATTAACAAGTAATTAATGGAAATAAATATAATATAAGGTGTTTGGTTTGTGGTAATATAATGGGCTCATTCCCAAAGGAGCTCAATTTTTCATTCCAGCTCAATTTGGGGGGAATGAAATTTCATTCCCGCTTCCAATATCCGCCTCCAAAGTCGACTCTCTAAAATCGGCTACTCCAAAATTTACTACTCCAAAATCATCAATTCTAAAAATCATTCTAGAAATCGTTTCTCTTCCAAGTAATCGTCTTCTAGAAATCGTTCCTTTTACAGGCATGTTCCTATTTCTCTAACCTAACTTACACTCATGTTAGATATGTACAGTCGTAAAGAGTTTTTGACAAATTCTGTTGGGTCGATGCCAGTGAGAGTGAATGGGTTTGATGAGTCTTGTGGTTCTCGACAATAGAATCAATGCTTTCATACTTACAATGGCATTGACACTGTAAACTGTCATCATACCTACAATAAGCTATTGTTGCAATATATGAAGCACTTGCTAGGCTTCCAAGAGTAAATCAGCCTATAATAAAGACTCTAGCCCCCACACACAGAAGAATTCACAAGTGCTAGAATACATTATGGTAAACAATTCATCTAAAATATTCAGCAAAAAGGCATGCATATGTGGTTGAAATGATATATGTTTAAGATTTAAATCGATGTTCCTTATAGTGCAAATTTGTTTTTGGAAAGCCTAATTTTGTGATGCCTCTTCACTATTAGAGTAAGGTCCATTCATACATACTATATAAGTTAGATAAATGGTGTCCTGTTGACAGCCATTGAATAGCCAACTGGACCAGATTTCTATGAAGTTATGAAGGTGCATCATTGTTTGAAATCAGATTTCTTTGAACCAATTGGACCAAGCTCATTTGCAGCCATTGGATAACCAATATCAATAGGAAAGAGTTGTTACAAGTTGATAGTTATTGTAAATGGATAGCTGCTGTAAATTGATATGTGTAATGTTCCATGAAATAGTTGTTGTAAATTGACCTATAGCTGTTGTAAACCTCTCATCTTGACACTAATGTTTTCATTTCTAGCCCCTATTTATTTATTTCATGGAAGAAAGTGTATCTGTGGCTATTAGTTGAAAGGAAGATGGAAGATCCTTGCATCCCCCTCATTCTTCCCAATCGAAACCCAAGTTCGAATTATAATGGTGTGTTGCCTCCTACACAACTTGATTCGAAAGTTTATGAGCCATGATCCCCAAGAGTCGGTCCTTGAAGATGAAGGAGAAGAAGAAGAAGAAGAAGAAGAAGGAGAAGAAGAAGAAGAAGAAGAAGAAGAAGAAGAAGGAGAAGAAGAAGAAGAAGAAGAAGAAGAAGAAGAAGAAGAAGAAGAAGAAGAAGAAGAAGAAGAAGAAGAAGAAGAAGAAGAAACAAATAGCGAGGATGAAAGTAATGAAGTCGAATAGATTACAAACATTAATCCAACCGATGAGTGGCTAGCATTTAGAAATACTACGGCTACCAATATGTTTAATGCATGGAGAAGTAGATAGACTTTGTCATGATTGTACTTGTTTTTGGAATTTTATGTTGACATAATGTTTTATTATCTTGTATTTGACATTATGTTTTATTATGCCATATTAAACAATATGTTTTATTATGCGGTATTTGACATTATGTTTTATTATCGTATTTGACATTATGTTTTAGTATGCCCTATTTTTATGTTTTATTATGTTGTTTAGAAATGGCTACATCTTCATGTGAGTGTGAACGTGGAAGGGGAAAAACAAAATATATTGGAATGACGAGGAAGAAGAAGCATTGGTCAATGTTTTACAAGAACTTGCTTGTGATCCCTTATGGAAGGTAGATGGTTGTTGGATCGAATAACTCAATTCTTGGTACTAAAACTTACTTGAATGATCGGTTTGATAGTAGTAGAGCAGCGGAAACAATATCAATCAAACAGGTAGAAACAGTAAGAACACAATGAAGAACAAATAATGAACACAAAGAGAATTGCTTCAAATGATTTTCAATTGAATGAAAATGTCGACGATTACAAAT